CTCCTGATGACCTTGAAAGTGACTGGTTATTTTTGTGTGTTTTCACACTCTTTAGTCTATTTGTATTGGTATTGATTGTTTCTTTGACCTGAAGTTTAACTTTTTGTGTGTGAGATTTTCCTCTTATGGACTAGTAAATTTTATCTATGTCAATATGTCTGTTAATTGCCGATTCACTGGAAAATCAGGCTTCTAAAAGTTCTCTGGCGTTCTTGGTGTTTCCTCTTCTTAATATTCGAACGTTGTCCCAGTCGAAATGATGTCTATGGTTGCCTGTATACAGCGATATGAGTGAGTAGATTATCATGTCTTTTGACGGCTAGTTTGTGTTCATGGATACAAAGACAAAAGAGGGCGTCTACTTTGGCCGATGTAGTGTTTTTCACAATCGTTACAACTTATCTTATAGATGTTGTTGGTTTTATCTTTTTTCACTGTTGAGTCTTTTGGTTGACACAGAGTTGACACTGAGTGAAGTGATTTTGTTGGTCTATGTGCGACATCAATTCCATAAGGTTTGAAGAGTCTTTCAGTGATTTCTGGGATGTCCTTTATATGTGGTAGGGCGATTTTCTTTGTGTTTTCCCTTGGGGGCCTTTGATTTGGTTGACTGGTTTGGGGGTATTTGTCTTTTGAGGAAGTTTCGTGGATATACATTCTTTGAGAAAATGTCCATGAGATATTTTTCTTCAATTTTCCATAAGGCAGGACTCCTTCAATGAGTCTTAGCTCTCTTGAATAATGTTTGTATGCAAGTCTTTCTGTGTACTGTTAGGTTGTTACCGTTGTAAGCGAGTATTTGATCTGTGTGGATAGATTTTCTATAAACTTGAGTTTCTAATTTCTAATTCCTCCTCTTCTCTTGGCTTTAGTCTTCATAACTCATCAACTAGATTAGTTGTGTAAAACTCAAAAAATTCAACTAATTTTTACCAGTTAGTGCTAGAAATAAATGTTTTATGCCAACCAAATGTTAATTTTTTCTGCATTAATTAATTATTCATATGGTTTTTCGCTCTCATTCATTCATTCAGTTAGCCAGTCAGTCAGTCAGTCAGTTATTCACTCACCTTCTGTAATATTTTTTTCGACATTTCACTGGTGTTGTCGCTATTTTATTCATGACCTGGATTTAGGTTTTCAGCCTGTTTTTCTTATTTTTATTTTGTCATTTTGTAACGGTTATTTTCAAGCTTACCGCGTTATTTTTTTTCAAAAAATATTTCCACTGAACATTTTTAATCTGTAGAAATTTGATACAATGGTAGACAGACAAGGCGAGAGAGTGAGAGAAGAAGATGGTGGGTAGTAGGAGGTGGGCGTGCAGAATACATTTAATGTGCATTTACGCAGGTGGATTGTTTCTTTATTTTGATGTATTTCTGACACATCAATCATTCTATTAGATAGGGCGAATTCCGTAGGGGGTATGCCAGCAACAAAAGTAAGAAAAAGAGAGATGATTACAAATAAGCAATGCGCTTACGTCATATATAGTTTGCTCTCCGCCCCCGCAATAGTTCTGAGCGAAACCTCTACTACTATTGCTGGTAGGTTACTGTTGTTGTTGAGGGGTGGGTGGTGGAAATACAAGTACTGAATAATATATCGTTTCTTTCGCGCCTACTCGATATACACCGTTTCAAGTGCGCTCGGGGGGTTGGTAATATAACAGGACTGTAATTCTCAGTGTATTATTTCCTTTCAAATATATTCGTACGAGGTCAGTCAGTCAGTCCTGTAAGTGTGTTTTTCGTGTACTTTCCTTCGTGTATATCATATTCTACTCATCGTCATGATCACCATGTGTGTGTATGCGGGGTGTTGCAAATGCGCAGATGTTTATCTCACTTCTAGGTGAAATGAAATAAACTTGTGTTGTCAGCATTTTGTGTCTTTAATTACTCCCTCTCCTCCACCTCATTACTATCATTGTTATGCTGCTCCCCACTTATATTTTTCAAGAATTACAGAAATAACGAAGTCATTAATTCATTGACACATTTTACGTACAATGTGTATTATTACTGTTTCATTTTTATTTATTTATTTATTACTTTCATGAAATGTATGACGTATCATTTGAAAATAATAATAATAATAATAATAATAATAGTAATGTCAGATATTTCATTGTCTCACCTGATGTCTTTAACGGTGTAACGAACGCTGTCTGATGTGTTCTATGTAGTATATGCTCTGGTATGGTATGCGCGTGTGTATGGACTCTGTACATACTACTTACTTACTAAAAGTAGTTAAACCACTACACTCTGTCTAGTTTTACACAGTGACATCAACCAGAAAAAAGATAAATAATTTAAAAAAAAAAAGATAATGCAAGAAAGGCCTAAAACGAGAATAGAACAAAACAATGGCAGTAATCACAATACATATATTAAAGGTGTGTGTGAGTGTGACTTAAAGCCTATCTAGTGTAGTTACATCAGTGTTGTCATTTTAACGTTTCTTTTTCAATTGAAGGATGCATTTGATAGAGAAATATACAGCCAGTGTTAATCTCTGGCTTGATAATTAATTGATGTTTCCCTTATTTTCTGTTGGTCTGTTTCAGTTTTATTTTTCATAACTTTCTTATTTGCCTCAGTTTTTCTTTTTGTTTAGCCCTACCATACAGAGATGTGTACTTTGATTCGACAATAGGCAGTAACTAATGTCAAGTGTGTCTAGTCTTTGGGTTGCGGTGTAGCCATCATACGCTGTGTGGGTTGCTATCACGGTGCATTCTGAATTGTTATTAGATGGGTGATCATCAGGAAGCCCTGTCTGACCTAAGTTTCATGCTTGTTGACACTTCAGCAATCATCTGCAACTTAAGAGGAACTCATATCCCTTCTAAGATTCGAACCTCGGCCACCCAGTGTTGTGGTCGGGCTCGCGACTGACCTTTTGTAGGGATTGTAATGAATAGTTTGGTTGGATGTCAGGTAGTAACTAATGTGTCATTTGTCTAGTCCTAGATGTTGGTAGAGACTGAATTTTGTCAGTCAAGATTGCGGATATAGGCCTTACTGACGACTGGTAACAAGCACGAAACCTAGGTCGAAGGCTTGCTGTCAGTTGCCTTCAAACATCTAACATTATGGGTGTTATTGTTGTAGACGATCAACAAGACAGTGGTGAAATCATTTTTATAACCATTGTAATTTCAGGTAGTCTGCAACTGATGAGAACCTGTCAAATAGAATGATATCATTTTTACTGCAAATTTCGTCTTCCTTTCTCTATCAAAATCATTTTTATACATAAGGAAAACTTTGAAAAGCTTGTTTTTACTTTACATAAATGGCTTTATCAGTTTGTTTCTGATTTGGAGTAACCTTGTCATTTTAGTTATTCAGGACATTTGTTAGAAGATGGTGATATTGCTGGTCACTTTCCTTTCCCTCTACAATGGTAGCAGTTGATCAGTCTTTGTTGGGAAAAATTCAGAGAGGTGTCTGAAGTGAATACAAGAGTAAGACAAAACCGACTTCATATTATCACCAATGATATTTCTGTGGCGAACTGGATTATTCATCAGACTGTACGTGAGGAGCAAGAAGAAAGGAATACGCTGCACTGACAGATAAGAAGACTCTAGAAGATGTGGATTTCGCGTGTGGATGATTTAGGCTCAATACCACACAAACTCAAATGCTTGTAGGTGGAAACCAACAAAATGGGAGTACAGGCTGGCTGGCCAGCAGCGAAGACAGGATTTCAAGTGAACATAGAGAAAATGGTGATGAAGATAATCAAGAAACAGCGACATCAACAACAACCAGCTCCAAAAGACATCAAAGTGAGAGATTTAACAGAGGTCACTTCCTCCACCTATCGAGCTATGCAGCATTGTTTCAACCACAGGCAGTCGGAATGAATGAAGATGTCAAAGCCACTCCGGATAAGAAAGGTGGGGTAACATTCATTAATCTGAAGTCAGTTTGGAAATCTTCTGAACTCCACTTCAGCATAAACAACAAGATTCGAATTTTCAACACAATTGTCAAGTCAAATTGTGCTTCTAAACTTACACTGTGCATCACGGAAAGCATCTCCAACAGGCCATTGAAAACTTTTATCAACAGCTTCGTTCCCTCTTTACTGAAGATCAAATATCCAGAATGAATTAGCAACAAGAAACTCTGGTTGGGGACAAATCAACGAAGAGCTGATCGGTCAACAAATATGTAGAAGAAATTGTAGATGGATTGGTCATACTCTGAGGGGACCGTTGGGTGACATCGCGAGTAATGCAGGACATAGCTTGAGTAGAACTCAAATAAGAAACGACTAGGTGGACATAAGTTCGAGGTTGACATGGCGGAGATCGTGTGGCGAGGAGGAGGGGAATAGAGACTATGGGCCCAGCTGAAGAGGATAGCAGAAAATGGAGCAAAGTGTAGATGTGTTATTGAAGCTGTATGTTCCACTCGTAACCCAAGGGAACAATAATAATAATAATCTTTCAATTGAGAGAATGTTTACATCTACATTTATTATGAGTTATCTTTAAAGCATATTATAACAGTAAATATTATCAATAACACGTTAATTATTGAATAATATTTAAGCTGTGGTATGATTATTTCCAGTTTTTTCTTCAAGTGTTACAGGGGAAAGCAAGAATTAACTTACATATTAGTAATGATAATACTAATTATTATTATTACTATTACATAACAATGATGCTATAACAGTATGTCTCTATATGTGTATGTTTGTGAGTAAACATAAGCAAGCGTTCAATAGTCAATGGATTAGTGATTCATTCCTAGTGTTTATTTTACATCATTGTTCATAAAGAATTCAAGGTTATATATACGTTTAAATCTTATTTTTTCTTGACCAATAAGATGATAACTTATTGTCGACAATCAAGATGATGCAAACAGAGAGTGTAGTGTTTACCTTTTTCAGACTTAACAAATCAAGATTCTGCTCTATATAATATATAATGTCATGAAAGAATTACTATTTTCTTTTCTTTTCTTTTAATGTTTCTTCTGAAAGATAATTTCAATCCATCTAGTCAAAGAAGTAGATCACGATTTTTTGGAATTGACAGTGTTTTCAATAGTCATGAAGTTTCCTGTAATGATAATATTCACAATTATGAAGGTACATTTATGGAGAATTATGCAACATCTGGTAGCAGTATTCATCCAATGGATGTTGGCAATAATAATAATAATAATGGTATTAACAGCAGCAATAGCAGCAGCAGCAGGAATCACAAGGATACTAATTATGATAACAACCAGATGATATTTAAACTGGATGAAATGTTTGACCAGATGAATTTTCACGAGGATACTTCATCTGATCATAGTCGATCGAATAGTCCACCGTTAGGTCGTCTACGCAGAGAGAAACCGAAACCCATAACAAGCAGGCAACAAGTTGAATTCCCTGGTATATTTGTTGAAGGTTTTCGTGCTGGTCATATGGGATTTAATATACCTGGTATTTTACAAGACTCCTTAAAACCAACCGATTCAATGGAAGTGAAAATTAATCTGCCAACTCCAGAATTCTTTTCTCAGTCTGTCTGGCAAAATCCATCACCGTTTATGATGAATTTAACACAAAATGAGAATACCTCGAATGACAGAGAAGCTTGTCGAAGTAATGCTAATGTGAATACTGGTCGTTTTGGTGCTTCATATTTACAATCTGATATTCAACACACAACAACAAGGACATCATCGACGGTGAATAATAATAATGATAATAATAATGACAACACGATGCCTTATTCATCTTCAGGTGTTTTTTTCAACTCCAGTCATAATTGTCCACGTCCTGGTGATCCTTGCCTTTTAAATTCAATCGATACAAATCAGTCTGATGCTCATTTACTGAACTGTGGTACTGAAAGTTACACTGTCTCATCAAATCCTTATTCATCTAGTCGTTTTCCTAGTGTCTGTGAAGGAATCTCAACAGATTCAGGTCTACCGTCTAATTGTCTAGTACGCTCAGTTATCTCTGGTCATAAAAAGATTGGAGATAACGATGATGAGGATCGTGTGGATGGCCATGTTGATGGAGGGAACAATTATGCTGAACACAATCGAAAAACCTCGAATAGTACTAATCGATTCTCGCGTTTTGGACACTTTGATATACGATAGAAAGAAAGAAAGAAAAAGCATATATGGTTAGAGAAATATTTCTGTTCAAAAGTTAAAAAAAAAACAACAAAAAAAAATTTATACAAATTGCATTTTTGATATTACTATTATTATTTTATTTTTTTGGTTTTCGACTTCTGTTTTATACATACACTTGTTTTGTTTATTGTGCTTCTTTCTAATAACTAACTACCCTGTGACCCCCTCAGTAGTATCGTATTCAACAGCGACAAAGCCTACATATTAGATATTTTGTATACTCAGGAAAATGTGGCTCACACTATTATTATTATTACTATTATTAATATTTATACTTTATGATTGTAAATGCATATTTTGTATCATTTGTGATGCCTAGGAGGAGAATGAAAAAAGAAAATTAAAAATACACCATTCGATCTCATTACCTTCTATTATCTCTTCAGGATATATCCTATGCATTAGGCTTCTTATCTGTTAACCTACTCACTGACTCACTGACTCACCCGCTCACTCACTCACTCACTCACTCTTAATCTTCACGTTATTCCAATGTAAATATAGATATCGGTGAAAGCATACCCTGTCGCCTTTCTTTCCATGTATTTTGTAGAGCAAAAAAGGAAAATAAATTTTGAAAAAAAAACAGTCAAAAGAAACTCTCTGTAGCCCTTCACCTGTCCATTTACCAATTTCTTTCACAAGAAGATGTTAAAATGATTTTCTATCAGAATTATTATTATTATTACTACTACCCCTATTATATTCCAGCTATTTTTGTTTTCTACGTCTCGATATCTGCTTACTAGGGCACTATACATGCATATATATTTATTGTACATATATACATAATGTACAAAAACATGACTACTGCCTACCATCTCATTGTTTTACTTTAGTTTGATTAAAATTCTTTCCGAAAATTATCTATACTACTACTATTACTACTACTTCTATTACTACTTATGCATTACTCTTGCTCCTGCTCGTCCTCTTCCCCTTATTTATTATTATTCTTCCTTTTAATATGCTATTTGCATTCCAGTATTGTTACCACTACTTTTATTACTATTATTATTACTGTGAATTTTTCTATAATGTGTTTCAACAAATTATACTGAAGAGGAGAAAAAGAAAATTAATAAGACGACGTATCAACAACTTTTTTCACAATTTCGTCTGTTTTTTCTCTCTCTGTGTGTTTGTGCGTGTGTAGGAATCAGAATGAGTTACCCCTGAATCACTTTGTCCTGCGTGATCTCCGTTTTGAAAACCGCTTGATATTTGAGAGACAGCAAGTGTCTGTCTGTCTGTTTTCGACATAGAACTTTGCACATATGTGCGGCAGTTCAAGTCGCCACACTCCATGTAGCACACAAAGCAAGAGAAGAAAGTAGGAGAAATGCATAATAGAGACAGTAAACAGAGGTGTGAGACAAAGGTATAGTAATAACGAAGAACAAAACAGTTTCATTGGAAATCATGAGTCACAAGGAGTGGATGCATCTGCTCTAGCCATTGAGAACGATTTTGAGCCATGTCACCAATTGTTTCCAACCATTGGTTTTTACCGTCCCGAGGACCCCAACCAGGAAGCCAGTCTACACCTTCCTACGTGGCTTAGACTAACTGTTGTAGATTTCATTGACTGGTGAAGCCATGTTTTGGTTTGACCACCGCTAGCTCTTTTCCAGCCTGACCCTATATCAGCTAACATTGCCCATCAGTTGAGGAAGGCGATGACTAGGCATACGTAACACATGTCCTAACCATCTCAGTCGATGTAACTTCACAGTCTCGTCGATTGATTTTCCCTCCTTACCTAGCACTCGACGTGCCTAACCTCAATATTGCTCACCTTATTATACCACTTCACACGGGAGATAGAACGCAGACACCTATGATCGAAGACAGCTAATCTTTTCATGTCTTCCGCTCTCAGTGGCCAGGTCTCACAGCCATAAAGGAGGACGGAGCGGACTGCTGCTGAGTAGTACACACGTCCTTTGGCAGATAGCCAGCCGGATATCACGTCTACGCCAGAGACGGCGTAAACTGGCATATGCGAAACTAGCCCTCTGTATTCGTGCTGAGATTTCGTCAGAGATCAACCCGTTGGGGCTGATGGTACTTCCCAAGTAAGTGAAGCGGTCAACGTGCTCTACCACTTCACTTCCTATTTCTAATCTAGGGGTCGGTGAAGTCCAATCCTGCAACATTATCTTACATTTTACAGAGAGCAAGTGTGTACTTCTCTCACTCAGTGATGAATGAATTCGCGATTAAGGTGGTCGAAAATTCACTGGGAATCAATCGAAGATTAGGTTTGAGTGTTAAGCGTAGTTAACAGTAGCTGATTTTATTATCGTGAGACATACTGAATAAAGATAAAATCTCTGTAGTCAGACAGCAACAACATACACAGTACCATACAATCTCCGGTTATTTTGTTTTCGTGATCATTACTTCACAGTCGAGTTGACCTTATATACTATAAACCTTTACAATAGAAGACATGAAATTTGTTGCTTTTAGCTAGATAGGCATACTTTTTCTTGCATGTTGGGATTCCTGGGAGTGTGGAGTGTGATACCATTGATCGTGGGCGGGGTTTATATTTCAGTTGTGTAATTTGGGTCTATCATAAAATTGCGGGGTAGAACGGGTTCGTTAGGTTCGGTTCGCCTTTGTGATCTGAGCTGATTCTACGAGTTTCTTTAGAGTTCTTTGGATGGGATTTGTCATGTGAGGAGGTGTCAGTATACATTTTATCTTTGGGTATATTCTTCGACTTTCTTTGGGGTATTCCTTCTTTGTCCATAAGTACTGTGGTTCTGCTTCTGTAAGCTGATAGTAGGACTAGACTTGTCTTTTCTACTTTTCAGTCTTCTGAGGGTCTTTCATCCTTGAGAATTGAGTTGCGTTTAGTATTATTTTCTGTTTAACCATAGGCACATTAATTTGACGTATCTCTCTTCTTGTGTTTCTTCGTTTAAATGAAGAAACACAGACGTACTTTATATGAGATTAAAACTAAGTAATTTCAGTTGAGTGCAGTTTCATGTTAATTTATTTATTTCATAAATAACACAGTGATACAGTACAGTATTATTTGCCAGAGGCATTAATTAACCTTATCGCATGTAGTATTATCAAAAAAACGGTTAGACTGGTTACACTACTCATTTGAACACTAAGTAGTAGGTTTTAAAAGTAATAAAAACAAGGGAGTGAAATTAGTACCATATGTTGATTAAGAATTCTGGAAGACAATGGAATAATTGATATTACAAGATAAGATATTGATGAATTAGAGAACTGAAAACTGTTTTGGACAAAATATAACTTACGGTCTCTGAATGACTTATCTCGTTTGTCATGGAAACTCCAACCAGGTAGACATTGTCCTGATCTGACAATTTCTCTCTGTCTCATAAAACAAATCCTACCTCTGGTGAAATAGGATGTTGAGGCAAGAGGCATGCGCTAGACATGCCAACCATCTCATTCAGTGCAGACTAATTTCATCGACTGACATGCCTAAAAATACAAGCTAAACCTCTGCATACCTTACATGAGGGATCCATCATGCATGTGAAATGTTAAAGAAGGGCCAATGGTCAAGTATTTCCACATTATACCTTAGACTTGTTGCATAGCTATGTGCAGGAGTAGGAGAAGCACTGCTGGACATAAACTTTGACATTCAATCCGACACCTTATTTACGCCAACTGACTTAATTTTGACAAAGACTAAGAAAGAAGGCTTTATATATGTACTGAGAAGATTTGTTCCAAACGATGAGCAGTATTAGCTTTATAGTCTGAGACTGAAAAGTTATCACCGTGGCTGCGTATTGATGCAATAACACCCTCCTTCAAAGAAAACATCACATTCGGATGCACAGCTTTTCGTAATTGCACATTTTAATTCAGTTATTTGAAATTGACAAAGGTGGTTACTTTGGATGACCTAAACACTCCCATTAGGCACAATTATCTGTAGTGCAGAACAAAGGATTTTTTTGAAATACTGTACTGCAATAAAAAATAACGGCACTGACTTCTAAATCTGAATACTTCAGATTGTGAGCTGCACAGTCGAAGTTGCTTTCCAGGAAGCGAATATACGAGAGAAAAGAAACAGAGCTAATTTGCATCAAATATGAAGATCAGGCGCAAATACAGTGATAAGTGAAGAACTTAAGGGTAATTGGATCTCATGTGAAACACAAAAAAGAGAACATACATTCAGGAAACAAGAAGTACTAATTAAATGTAACGCCAAAAGAATAATAATGATAGTGGTAATAAAACTAGTACTAATGGGAATATTGTGAGGAAATGTCTATTTATTTGCGATGCAAGCATTACACATGTTTTAGGCAGGTGACTTTAGATATTTCACCTTCGTCTAGTAGATCAGTGTAACTAAATCTACTATTTATTATTGTTATTGTTCCTATGGGTTTCGAGTGGAATATAGGGCGTCAACAGAACGTCTCCACCTTGTTCTATTCTCTGCCGTCCTCTTCATCTGGGCACAAAGTCTCTACTCTCCTCCTCGCCACACTATCTCTGCCATGTCAACCTCGGACTTATGTCCACCTAGTGGTTTCTCATTCGGGTTCCACTCGAGCAATGGCCTGCATTACTCGCGATGTCACCCAACGGTCTTCTCACTGTGTGCCCAATCCACCTATATTTTCTTCTACATATCTGTTGAGTGATCAGCTCTTCGTTGGTTTGTTCTCAGCTATAGTTTCTTGTTGATAATTCATTCTGACCACCTGATCTTCAATAAAGAGGGAACGCAGCTGTTGATAAAAGTCTTCAATGGCCTGTTGGAGATGCTTTCCGTGGAGCACAGTGTAAGTTTAAAAGCTCAATTTGACCTAACAATTGTGTTGAAAATTCGAATCTTGTTGTTTATGCTGAAGCGGAGTCCAGAAGATTTCCAAACTCATTTCAGATTGATGAATGTGTACCTCGCCTTTCCAATCCTGAGTGGCTTTGACATCTTCATCCGTTCTGACTGCCTGTGGTTGAAACAATGATGCATAGCTAGATAAGTGAAGGAAGTAACCTGCAGCTGGTTATTGTTTGTTGGCAGTGCGTGACTATCTTCATCAGTTCCAACTTCTCTATGTTCACCTGGAGTCATGTCTTTGCTGCTGGCCAGCCTCTCCTGCCAGTTTATTGGTTTTCGCCTACAAGCATTTGAGTTTGTGTAACATTAAACACAAATCTACGGTCTTCTTATCTGTCAGTGCAGCGTATTTCTGTCTTCTCGCTACCCACACACAGTCTGACGCATAATCCAGTGACTACAATTAAAAATATCATTGGTGACAATAGGTAGTCTTGTCTTACTCTTGTATCCACTTCAGACGCCGTACTGAGTTTCCCGTTGTGGATTACGTGACACGGGATATTGTCATTTGGCTGTTGAATGAGATTGATAAGGATTTGGGGCACTGCACCGCATAGTGTTGCAGTAGTTTGCAAATTGCTTGTCAGTTAGCAATGTCTGTCGCAGGCGTTTTCAAAGTCATTGAAGGCCATGAGGTAGGGATTTAACTGCAGTTCTATGCTCGGTTCGATGGTGATGCATAGAATTGCAATTTGATTCGCACATGACCTGCCTTTCCTGAATCCAGCTTGTTCCGGGCTGGTGGAGTTCAGCATCCAGTGCATCTTTTATTTTCTCCAGGATGATGGGACTTAGTACTTTACCTGGCGTCAGCAAGAGTAGGCCTAAGTTTCTGTTCTTTGGTAGTTCTGCAATGTAGCCTTTCTTCCAGTCAGCAGAGACCTTTCCTTCCCTCCAAACGTTTTGCAATAGCAACAGTTAATTACTGTTATCCTTTGGTATAGATAATTCGATTTCTGTATAACAATAGATTAACATAAAAATGAGTTAATTATATCCGGCTAGGAAAGTTATCCAAAAC